AAAAAGCTCCCAAGTTTTGTAATAAATAAGGAAATGATACACATATACCGAATTTTTGGGTCAAAATCTTTTTTTTTTGATTATCTCAAAATCGTGATTTTGACGTTTGGGCTGTTTCTATTGTCCATGCCCCATATATATAACTATTATTAAAAAATTATTTTTTTATTATTTCAAAGATGACAATTCTCAAAGAAAAACAAAACAAAACTGGGTTATAAAATAATATATATTATATACATATATATATACAGTAACTATTATTAAAAAATTATTTTTATTATTATTTCAAAGATGACAATTCTCAAAGAAAAATTGAATTATAAAATAATATATATTATATACATATATATATATAACTATTATTAAAAATTATTTTTATTATTATTTCAAAGATGACAATTCTCAAAGAAAAATAAAACAAAACTGGATTATAAAATAATATATATATATAACTATTTTTTATTATTTCAAGGATGACAGAGAATCCTCAAAGAAAACTAATATATAGACATAATAAGCAGGTAAAAAAGCAATATATTTATTTATACTGTATATATATACAACTATTATTAAAAAATATAAGGAAAAATATCTCAATTCTATTTTTTTTTTTTATTTCAAAGATAACAGAGAATCCTCAAAGAAAATCAAAATTAGATAGATAATAAGGTGTATTACAACTAATATAAATAATAGGTATACTTCATTGCATATTTAATAACATTAAAGGTTGATCATGATGTAAAATTCAATTTATATGTGGAAGGGATATATAGGCATATGAATAATTGATATCATTCAAAATGATGTGAATGTGTTAATATTAGATGGGAAATCTACATTTTTTTGGTAGGAAAAAAACACATGTGTTCATAATTGTAGCATTTATAATTTTTGAAGTGCATTCTTCTTCATATTTGGTTAATTACCCACCCAATGCAAAGAGGAAAAATGATTGGGATTGCAAAGGAAACTATTTATTATGATTTTATGCATACATTTTATATTCATATTCAATTAACTACATTGGATGTTGACCATCTTAAAACAATTTTAATATTTGACAATTTGAAAAATAAAATTTTTATTAATAGTAATTGTTTAAAGTTGTATATATATATAAATTATAAATTATGTGTTTTTGTAAAAGATCTTCAAGCCAATAAAATTTGATTTTTGTGTGATTTTTTGGAGGGTGATCATCGTAAAATTTAGCCAATGAAATCCAAGTCACGATGTGATAAACGAATGTCCATTATGCTGTTCTGCATTAGAAATTTCCTTTGCATTAGAATCTTCTTTCACATTAGAAATTTCTGTATATCCTTAGTTATAACTGGAAGTGTTAACTTTGTGATATCTAAGTTTTGAGTTTCATTTTGTTTTTGATATACATTTAATCCTTCTAAAGATCAATATAATGAATGTTACATTCATTATAATTGTAAATCCAATTTTTCATAATGAATTCTTCTGTTTGTACAATCAAATCAATGCTTGTGATATCGCAGATTTTTTTTTAACATTTTGTCACAGCCTATATGAATACCAATTTTCAATTTCAATATCTTTAAGATTTTTATTTTACACAAAGAAAAAGTTTTCTTCTGCTTTTTTTTGGCTGAAAATCTAAAATATTTTATTTTGCTCTGTGTACCTCCCTGTCTCGTTTGGTGGAATAATATGTATAGGATGCTGATTAGAATTTGTTTGATGATAATAGCCCCCTTGATGAGTTTTATCATGAATTATGATAGCATTAAATCCTTCATCATCATGTTCTTTAAAATGATCAGTCATAAGATCCACCTCTTCATGCCATAAACATCTTATCCATAAAAAGACTCTTCATAATAATCCATCTGGTATTCTATTGACATGTCAGGATGCTCAAAATTTGTACCATTTCTTCTTCATAATCAGTAAGAGGATCAGTTTTAAAAAAAAGATATTACAGCAAATTGGATAATTTTTTTTTTGCATTAAATATTTTATCATCATTATTATTTAATGCTTCCTATATAGTCAAATCCACAATAGTTACAGTTCCCATCTTTAATGTAATGGGTACAAAAGAATGTCGTGGGGCCAGATCAAATACACATAGGGCTCTATTCTATTATGAGAAGCAAATTCTCTTTCATTTATGTATCATAGCATCATATGAAAATACTTACATTAGGGTGTGCCTATCTATATAAACTGATGTTATGGTTCTTATTTTAATTTTGTTGAGCAAAGGGTAAAAATTTTTTTTGAATGAGTAAAATAATGATTTGCTAAAGTTAAGTCATTACATGAAAAAGACTAAACCTTAGGGTTAAGTGGCCAGCCCTGGTTGAAACAAGAGCTCTGAATGAGCTGAGTTTGAGCCAACTTAATTAATATCTTTACATAAAATGTATAAATAGAATTTGAGCTTGAGCTGGCTTGGCTCTTTCAGAAATTTACTATTACTAATTAAAGGTAATTTATCATTTTAATAATTTTATTTAATTTATGTTTAATAAAAAAAAATACTACCAATAATGATTTCTATAATAAATGTCATATTTTATATGGTTGCTGATTTAATATTAATATAGGCATTACATTCATTCATTTTTTAATGTTGATTTTTTTGAAACAAAGTAGTTGAATCAAAAATCAAATTTAAACTATAATTAATTAATCACTATTAATATATAATAATATTATATATCAACTGGATAAATAACAATGGTTTCTAAATCTTTTACTACAACAGGATCAATATATGGAATTAATAAAGCATTTAATAACTGTTCATTATATAAAAGAAAACTTTCTTTATTTCCTTTAGCCAATACTTTGAGCATTTCCATTGATCTTCTAGCCAACATAACACAATCTTCTTCATTAGCACCTGTTCTAATATTTCTAATGCTTGCCAATATCAATGTCATTTTAAGCATTCGATTTATAAACCCTGATGTGGCTATAATCCTTTTTTTCATTGTTTCATTATTCAAACTTGCAAAATTAAAAAATGACATTATTAAGGTAGCTAAGAATGGTAATTCTTGAAATGATGATGTATGCGTTATAATATTGCCATTATAATTATATCTACTATAAATATCACTTTCTACTTTTGGTAATAACCTTACAAGCTTTTCAAAAATTGATTTCAATGTATCCTCATCACATTCACTAACTTTCTGTCTATTTTCATATGAGACTGTCAACTTGGATAAAACTTCTAATGCTATCTGTGCATAATAATCATCTGAATTATTTAGAAAATCAGAAATTATCAATAGAAGATCTCTTGCTGCTAGTATTGAAGGCATTGAGACATATCCTGCAATATTTGATAAAATTATTAAAACAATTTTACGATATTCTAATATATCATAAGCTTTTTTCCTTGCATATCTTTTTTTATTATGTAAATCTGTTCTTGAAGATTTATTTAGAATCATTACAAAAAATTTGAATTTCTTTTGATTAACATCATCATCACCACCATCACTATTATCATTATTGCCTTTGTCATCATCATCATCACCATCATCATCACCATAATCCTTATCATCATTACTATTATTACTGCCACTACTGCTAACACAATCATAATTATCAATTGATCCAAGATATAAAATTTCCATAAATGTTCCTAAAATTCTTGGATGATGTGCTAAATATTTATGATTCTCATGTATAAAAGAAAAGTTCCTAATTATATTCAATGCACACCAACACTGTTCATGTAATTGTAACCATCCTTCTGAAATAGAAAATTGTTCAAGTTCAACATCTGAAAACTCTTCACATTCTCTTTTTGATTGTTGAAATAACTCTAAATATGTCAAAAATTTATTATTTGGTAATGAATTTTCCCCTTTAGATTCATTAGAATAACAATAATAATTGATTGATACACAATCCAAATATTCCATTATTATATCAATCAATACATCAACCAGTTCATCACATCTATTCAAATCTAACAATGCATTTTTATAACTTGAAATTATTGTTAATGTGTTAAGTGCATTTGTAACTTCCAATTTCATTCCTGATTTTAATGACATTGTAAGAGCATGAATATCAACAGCGCCTATTCAAAAAATGATATATAAATATAAATAAATATACATTAAATTTCAGAAAAAAACTTATTTGAAAATAATTATTACCTAAATCTTGAATTATTGGTACAATTAAAGGCAATGGCAACCTTTCAAAAACTGTTAAATCTAAACCACCATAACTATCCACTCTACGTGTTTTTGGTGCATAAACTAATCTGGGTGGTTTAATGGTATTAGTGGTAATAGGGTTTGTAGTTGGCATTGAAGATGGTTGATTAGGAAATTGTGATGAGACTGAAGGTATTGGTGATATATTATTAGCAACAGAAGGATTTTTTTCAGATTGTTTGTTAACCTGACGGTTTCTTCTACCAGCTATTCCTTGATTAGTTGGTAAATGAAGTTTTGGTGGTGGTGCATTTGATATATTCAATAAATTGGTTGGTACAATTGTAGCAGATTGTTGATTTGAATTGTCATTATGTTGCTGTTGCTGTTGTTTAATGTCATTTAAAGAATGATTAAATTTTGTATTGGCAAGAAAAACAGAATTATCATAAGAATTATTTTGAAAATTTGAACTTACAGAAGAACCATTATTATTGTTGTTATCATCGTCATCTCCAACACTACTGGATGATGTTTGAACCAAATTTTGAATATTTTTTGGAGATAAATTTTGTGCAATGCTGCTATTACTACTACCACTATTATTACTGTCACCACCAATATTATTGTTATTATTAGTAATAGCATTCTTTGATGGAGCAGAAAGTATATTAGGATAGTTATATTCTAAATTATTGTTATCTTTTATTTTTGGCTGTTTTTGTTGTTGTTGTGGAGATTGTTGGACTGATTGTAATGTAGATTGAACTGGTTGTGAAACCAATTCTTGATCTTGATCTAATTTTTGTTGATCTTGTTGTGATTGTAGTGGTGATTGATCTTTGTCATTTTGTTGCTTTTGTTGCTGTTGCTGTGATTCTTGTTGTTGTGAATTATTTTTTTGGTGACTATTTGGACTAATTAGTGGACATGAAGATTTTGAAGAAAGATTTTGATTTGAATAGTTAATATTTTTTTGTAATAAAGAGCCATGAGTCCAATCCGATATATTTCCTTCTATATTACTAGTGCTAGGAGTATTTGAAAACTCAGTATTGTAACTAAAATCATCATAAACAATATCTTCATCGTTAGTTAATTCTAACCAATCCATTTGATTTTCAAATGATTGAGCTGGATTTTGAATAGTATGGTTTATCTGTTGAGCAGCAGGATGTGAATTATTTATTAAATTATAATTATTGGCAATTGGGTTAAGTTTTTGTTGTAGTTGTTGTTGCTGTTGTTGTTTTTGTAATTGTTCATAATACTTGTTTATATTTTGCATTGAAGAAACATAATTAGGTTGCAATGATCCGACTGTCTTACCATCAATACTTGAGCCATCTGTGCCTAAGTAGGTTTGAGTTGGTACAGTGTTTGCGGTTCTTACAGTATTTATCAATTGATTAGAGAAAGTACTATTACCACTACTACCATAAAGTTGATTTTGAGCTAATTGGAGTTGATTTTGAGCTAAATTAGGATAGATGTTTTGAATAGGTTGTGTTGTTGTTGTAGGAGCAAGTGCAACACGTTTTGCAGCAGGCATACCATTTCCTGTTATTGATGCTAGAGATGCAACAGGTACTGGATAAACAGATCTAGTTCCTGTAATTGACATCATAGGATTCATATTACTGTTACTAGCTTGTAAATATGATGCATTATTTGGATAAGTTGAGGTTAAATATTGTTGAGGATAAATACCAGTTCCTATTACATTTGTTGATCCAGTCTGAGGAGTTCCTATAAAGTTATAAGGAACAACACGATTTTGTTGGGGGGTTTGTTGTTGTTGTTGCTGCTGCTGCTGCTGCTGCTGCTGCTGTTGTTGTTGTTGTTGTTGTTGTTGTTGTTGTTGCTGCTGCTGCTGCTGCTGCTGCTGATTATGATATAAACTTGGATCCATTGATCAAAAAGTTTTAAATAAATATAATATTTATATAATATATATTTTCTGATGAAATTTTTTTATTAAATTTTCTTGGTTGTACAATTTGAGTTACATATAAATATTATATTTTTTATAAAGAATAGTAAGGGTAGGTCTGAATATTACATTTCACAAAACTTAATGTCAAGATAAGAATCAATGTCATTTAGAATGATTTCATGTTTAACAAATCAAGGAGTGTGTCATTTCTGGTTGTTTGTCCTCGGGAGTATCCCAGCTAGAGAGACACTTCCCAAGGGTTAAAATACTACTCTATTGTATAAAATAAAGACAACTCAAAAGGAATTAACTTCACATTATCTGTATGCTTACTTTTAACATAAGCCAGTTTAGATCATCATAAAACATTAATATTGGTGGTGAAAAAAGAAATGACGATGAATGTGATGAATATAACCTTTGTTAATATTAATAACTTATGGAGTTTACATTATCATTAAAGAACTACAAATCATTCTGCACTGTAATCCGATTGTCGTAACAAATATTTTTCTTCACAACTCATATAAGCGTGTCCGAATGTATCATCATCGCTTTCAATAAAAGATATCTCTAGAGATGGTGGAAGTTTAATGCAAGCTTACTTACATGTATACAAATTTATGAGTATGAACAATTTTTTTAAGAAATAATAGTAATAGTAATAATAAACCAACGATTGATGTTTGAAAATGAATATTTCATATGATGAACCTATTGAAAATAAATAATAATTATTAGTTATTACCAGCATACTTGACCGTTATCTCCACCAGACCAAGCAATCATTGAAACATAATTTGTAATCATTTCAAAGTTATTAACCTGCTTACTTTTGATAAGTATTCTTTACTAATAGGAAATTTAGACCTAACTTAGGCATAGTAATTAAAGAATCTCTTACAGTCAAAAAAAGACATAAATAAACAACACAAATTAAAGTGAAGAGAAATCAAAAAATTCGACGAAATTTACATTAAAAAAATTTATTTCACATAACCTTTTATTTATTTTTATACACTTGACTCTCTTTCATAGCACATAACAATATATCAATAGTGATGCGTGTGGCTTTGTAGACGAAATTTATAAAACCATTGAAATTTTCAATCGAGAATGCTAGATCATTTATTAATACGCTTATTACACCATTCATTATTCTTTATCTATTGTAGTTTTCATACAATTAAAGAACATTTATTTTGGAGAAAGTCAATAGATTTTAATTATGCAACAAAATTTTACATGATATTGTCTTTAGTTTTTCACCTATCAAATCACAAATATACAGAAAAACCGGAAAAATCAAATTAATCATCATGGAACAACCACTTCATTAATTCGATAGGTTAAGGGCAGAATTTTATTGAATATATTTTAATACGAAATACTTTCACTATTGATTTTAATTACAGGCTGACATCTTGATTTTTTTTATCAAAGTAAATTATTTAGAAATAATCAGGAGTTGGATTCCACTTTTCTATGATGAATCGTCTCACATCTTTAAATTTTAACTTCTATCGTTATTTATAATCGATTACCAAAAATTTTAAAGAAATCTAGTACATAATATTATACCTTCTTGTTCATCCTCTTTGATCGCAACAATCATTATTAAATGGTGGTTTAGAACTAACCAGTAGTAAGCATTTAATTTCAATCATTCATTAAATCTTTTAAATAGTTAATAAACAACAACAACAGTAATAATAGTGGATTATTGATGAGAGATGGAGAGAAAGACTATCCATGATAATGGAAGATAAACTCTCATTTGTAAATATTATTATTTATTTCTTTGTATTATGATTAAGTTACAATTTGAGTTACATATAAATATTATATTTTTTATAAAGAATAGTAAGGGTAGGTCTGAATATTACATTTCACAAAACTTAATGTCAAGATAAGAATCAATGTCATTTAGAATGATTTCATGTTTAACAAATCAAGGAGTGTGTCATTTCTGGTTGTTTGTCCTCGGGAGTATCCCAGCTAGAGAGACACTTCCCAAGGGTTAAAATACTACTCTATTGTATAAAATAAAGACAACTCAAAAGGAATTAACTTCACATTATCTGTATGCTTACTTTTAACATAAGCCAGTTTAGATCATCATAAAACATTAATATTGGTGGTGAAAAAAGAAATGACGATGAATGTGATGAATATAACCTTTGTTAATATTAATAACTTATGGAGTTTACATTATCATTAAAGAACTACAAATCATTCTGCACTGTAATCCGATTGTCGTAACAAATATTTTTCTTCACAACTCATATAAGCGTGTCCGAATGTATCATCATCGCTTTCAATAAAAGATATCTCTAGAGATGGTGGAAGTTTAATGCAAGCTTACTTACATGTATACAAATTTATGAGTATGAACAATTTTTTTAAGAAATAATAGTAATAGTAATAATAAACCAACGATTGATGTTTGAAAATGAATATTTCATATGATGAACCTATTGAAAATAAATAATAATTATTAGTTATTACCAGCATACTTGACCGTTATCTCCACCAGACCAAGCAATCATTGAAACATAATTTGTAATCATTTCAAAGTTATTAACCTGCTTACTTTTGATAAGTATTCTTTACTAATAGGAAATTTAGACCTAACTTAGGCATAGTAATTAAAGAATCTCTTACAGTCAAAAAAAGACATAAATAAACAACACAAATTAAAGTGAAGAGAAATCAAAAAATTCGACGAAATTTACATTAAAAAAATTTATTTCACATAACCTTTTATTTATTTTTATACACTTGACTCTCTTTCATAGCACATAACAATATATCAATAGTGATGCGTGTGGCTTTGTAGACGAAATTTATAAAACCATTGAAATTTTCAATCGAGAATGCTAGATCATTTATTAATACGCTTATTACACCATTCATTATTCTTTATCTATTGTAGTTTTCATACAATTAAAGAACATTTATTTTGGAGAAAGTCAATAGATTTTAATTATGCAACAAAATTTTACATGATATTGTCTTTAGTTTTTCACCTATCAAATCACAAATATACAGAAAAACCGGAAAAATCAAATTAATCATCATGGAACAACCACTTCATTAATTCGATAGGTTAAGGGCAGAATTTTATTGAATATATTTTAATACGAAATACTTTCACTATTGATTTTAATTACAGGCTGACATCTTGATTTTTTTTATCAAAGTAAATTATTTAGAAATAATCAGGAGTTGGATTCCACTTTTCTATGATGAATCGTCTCACATCTTTAAATTTTAACTTCTATCGTTATTTATAATCGATTACCAAAAATTTTAAAGAAATCTAGTACATAATATTATACCTTCTTGTTCATCCTCTTTGATCGCAACAATCATTATTAAATGGTGGTTTAGAACTAACCAGTAGTAAGCATTTAATTTCAATCATTAATTGAAAGTGTACTCAATTTTGCACATATACGCCTTCGTATATTCTAAGTCTAGATCAGAAAAGATCAAAAATTCCGTTGACATTTTATTAAAAGCAATTTTAGACCTTGTGGAATTTGTAATTTCAACAGTTATGGAAACACTACCTTCTGGAACAGCAATAATAATAATAGCAATGACAGTAATGACAACAACAATGATGATAATAAAAACCATTCAGAGATTTGCAATAAATCATATAAATCATATGGAACAAAAAGCAGTTTAATCCAATACAAAAAGCAGTCATCTATGAAGAATATCCTTTAAATGTTCCTCTTCCTTCCAATAAATAAAATTTAATTTTAATATTAAAAAAATTGTCTTTATATTATAAAAATTTGGGGAAAGATCATTTACTATTTCATGTAGTGGGATTATGACTATTTACTTTATTTTATTCATTACATGTGACATTAATACAATATTATATACATGGATGTCAAAAGAATTTCAAAAGTAGTTCTATAATAATTGTTAATATATTTATTATTTATTTATATTTCTTATTATTAGATAAATATGATAAATAGAATAAAAATATACTTATATTTGGTAAACGTGGGGGAAAACTTGTATATTTTTTATGAGGTTAAATATTGATAAATAAATCAATTAAACCCACGTTTTACCTAGCAAAACACGAACTTTTACGTACATGAATTTAGAATCAAATGCAAATGGCATTTCATCAACAGTGTTTCATGAATTAAATGCGATGGCATTTCATCAACAAACCCAAATCAATTAATGTTAATATTATTTTCTTTATTTTCTTTTATACATAGTAATAAACGTCAATATTTAAAATGAACAATTTTTAAAAAATATGATACACAAAGATGAGATTTTTTTTTTTTTTTTTTTTTTTTTTTACAAACCAAAATCTATTTAAAATCAACTACACCAAAACCCCAATGAAACTTTTTTAAAACAAGAGTTCTGATTCCGTTAATATGTTATGGCAAAAAAATCAATTATTATCCCATGGCTCCTTTTTAACAAAATTGATAAAAAAGCACATACAATCCTTCAAAGTAGTCCATAATCTGAATCACAAATCTATCCTGGGAAACCTGAGAAAAGGTAATTATTGTAAACTTATTTCTTTTACTTGATGTGTAAATGATGATTAAGGCATTTGTCTGTTTCATGATGAAAAATTATGACAGCTACCTATTTTCAATAGTCTATTGGCTGATATATATTAACTTATTTAATTATTATAAATTCTAATTTTATCAAACTAATTGTTCTTTTTATATTAAAAATTTATAAACATAGCAATCATTTCTTATAAATAATGATTTTATTATTGTAAATAACATACACAATCCATAATCAAATTTATATCAGTTATACATAAAAATAAAGTAGTTAAAAAGAATATATATATGACAAAAGATTATAACATTTTCTTTTTTAACGATAATATTATAATTACTAAATAAAAATAAGTAAATAAATAATCAATCAATTTAATCTAATAATGATTTATCATAATTTTTTGATGGCATTGGTTGTTGTGGTTGTTGATAATCATTAGTAAAGTTTTGAGGAGGAATTGTAGGTAAAACTGATGAAGTTTGATGATTTAATTGTATTTGTTGATATGTATTATTATTATTATTATTAAATGGAACAGTATTTTGATAATATTGGTTGGTGACTTGTGGAGATGGAATAGATGTAGTTTGATAATAATTTTGTTGCTGCTGTTGTATATTTGAGTTTTGCAAAGGTTGATTAAATCCTTGAGGTTGCAAAATATTTGTTTGATGTTGTTGAGGAAGTATAACAGATGGTGTAGGATAGTGTGGCAAACTTATTATATTAGCTTGTTTTGTGATTTGTTGCAACTGTTGTAATTTTTGTTGTTGCAGCTGTTGCTGTTGTAATTGTTGTAGTTGCAATTGTTGCTGTTGTAATTGTTGTTGTTGTAGCTGCTGCTGTTGTAGCTGTTGTTGTTTTAATTGCTGTTGTTGTAGCTGCTGCTGCTGCTGTTGCAATTGTTGCTGCTGCTGCTGCTGTAAATGTAGTTGTTGTAATTGCTGTTGTTGAAGTTGTGGTTTTTGAGGTGATTGAGATTGATTAAGGCCATAATTTAATGGAGCATATATTGGTAGTTGAGGCACTTGTGGAGCCTGTTGTAGTTGAGGCACTTGTGATAATTGTTGTGATTGAGTTTGTTGTTGTGGTGTTTGCAATGGTTGAGAAGTAGAACCATACAAACTTGTAGGTCTTGAAAAGGTTTTTTGTGATGGTTGCTGTTGTGGTGTTTGTTGTAATGGCTGAGAAGTAGAACCATACAAACTTGTAGGCCTTGAAAAGGTTTTTTGAGGTGGTTGTTGATATTGAAATTGTGTACTTATTTGTTGTGGAATGGATTGGTGTAATCCATAACCACTATTTTGCTGTTGCTGTTGCTGCTGTAATAATGGTGGTGGACTATTGTAAATATTGTCCTTTAGCACATTAGTTGTATTGAGAGACATTTTACTAGTTTCTTCAACCAATCTTTGTTCCAAAGAATCATATGAACCAACTTTTGAACTATTTGTAGCATTACTCAATATTTCTAATTGTTCTTTTAATCTTTGTTGATCCTGTTTGTGAATAGATTGAATTAGATCATTACGCTCCTTTTGACGAGAATCAGAAAATTGTTGTGCACTTTTGTGTAAAGTATTGATTAAATCTAACAAATCAACATAAAATTGAATTCCTTTTCTATGAATTGATGAAAAAAGTAATCAAATTAATTAATAATTCAACAATGTACAATAAAATAGGCGTTTTTTCCTTTATTCTACCAACCTAAGTCCTTCTTTGACTTCAAAATAATTATCTTTGGATTTTCTTAATTTTTCAGAAATAGTTTTTCTTTGATGCTCAATGCGATCCCATTGTCCTTGTAAAGTTTTTGCTTCATTACCTTGCATTAAACTTTTATAATGTAAGGTTAACTCTTGTAATAATGCTTGTTGATGATGAATACTGGCAGTGATACGATTTTTATAAGGTGAAAACTTTTCAAGCTCAGTGGCAAAAAGTTGTGGTTCGATGTTTTGATTCTTCTTGTTAAGAATAAGAATGTGTGATATATCATCTTGGTGTATCTATTATATTATAATCAATAAATAATTTATTAAAAATACATATATATTATACAATAATTTGTTTATTAGTAAATAGTCAACTAACCTTTTCCTTTAAATCTTTTAAGGTTTCCATTCTTTCTTTTTTGATCTTTTGAAGATTATTTAAATATTCTTCAATTTTTTGTGCTTTATTAGAAACTTGTTCTTCAAAATTTGGATTTTCAGAGCCTGTTTTTGATTCTTCACTCATTTTTGCAATATTATTGCTACCAACAATAGATGCAATTGTTTCCGCAAATAATTTTTCTAGTTCTTCACCATTTTCTCCATTGCTCAAAATTTTTATATCATTTTTTATATGATCATATAATTGAGTCAAGTGTCTATCAGAATTTGTAGCTTTTTCAAGTGTGTCACAATGATTTGATAAATCTTGATGAAAAACACTGTTAAGAGATGACGAAGTTGGTTGTGTCCAAGAATTATGATATTTGGACTACAAAATAGAGATTTATTATATTGTTATTATTGTTATTAAAAAATTTTTATAATTAGTATTTTGTTATAATCTTCACCTTCAGAGATTCATATTCTTTTTTTTCATTTTCCAAAAGAGCATTAATATCATTCAACAATTCTTTAGATCGGGTTTTCAATCCATTTAATGTTATAATTAGCTCATTTAATGAACCCTTTTGTTGCTCTTCTTCTTGGATTGTATTAGCCAATTGTCTAACTTCAGGAGTAGGTGTTGCTAATTCATTTATTGATTTAGAGGTGTCATTAGTTTCTTTGAACTTAGCCAAAATACCAGGCAGTTTCATATATTCCAATGCAGTATCTAATTCACTATCTGCCAGATCACATCTTTCAGTTTCACCACGTATCATTTTTGATTGCTCTTCAGAATACAAAGATGCGGATTCATGGACTGATAATGGAATAAGCCGTTGAAATATATCTGGACCAATGACCTTTTGGATCTCATTTGGACCATAAAGATCCGAAATTAAAATGGTTTTTGCAGCATTCACCTTTTCAATTGGAGAAATAATACTTTCTTGTGGTACAACTTCATGATAAACTAAATCATTATCACGAGTTGCTGAAATTTTTTTTTCTGTAACAAGAGCAAGATTGGATTTTGTTAGATCTTGTAAAGAAGTTGCAGCTTCAGGGGGTAGTGTAGGTGTGTTTGTTGGAGAAAAAGATGAAACAAAATTATTGCCAAGTTTGTTTGCATCCTTTGCAAAATTTTCTGCAATATTCAAACGACCAACACATTCACCATATTTATTTTCTGCTTCACAAGCCAATGCCTTTTGATATTGTGCAATTGATGAATAATATTTGTGTTTAATCTGTAAAATAACAAATAAAATTTTTAGGCTTTTTCATCAAATAAATGAACAAAAAAAAAACAAAGAAAGCCTTTTAATGTTAAAAACATTATATACCTGACAAACAGTTGACCAGCTTTTATCAAATGTGCTTTTTGAAATAAGGTCAGCCATATTTTCAACAATATTACCATAAGACCATCCAAGTTGAGCAGCTAACTTGGCAATTAAAGTTGGTTTTTTCTTTGAACATAAACTTTGTTCAAACATACATTCTTGAGCCTGTGATAACATTAATTGTGATAATAGTTTAACAGTGTCACGATTTAAATCAGTTGAAGGAGCATGCAAGAAATTATCATTAATATAGGTGAACATTCCTGCTGATGCTTGAAAAAAATTATAAGATCGTTTAAACCCTTCTTGTTCTGACCAATTTTCAGAAGCAGCTATAGCAGATAGATTGGCTGCAATGTTAAAAATGGTACAAGCTTTCTCATATGCAAGTGAATGTTGAGAAGTTGCTTTGTGTGTAAAGGCGTCATACCTTTAAAATAAAATAAAAATAATGAGATGTAAACAGAAAATGACCATTTTATTAAATAATAATATTTTTAAAAATATATTAAATTATAAATATTAAATACCATGTAAAAGGAATTTTAATGTGATTTTCATCAATAGGAAATCTCAAATCAAGCAATTCCAATTGGCCGTAATACCGATACAATAAATCTCTACCAGTTACATCTTTGCCCGCACCTCTCATATCTTGTCTTAAACGATGAATAGCATTAGCTTCATCGGCATATTTTTCAGGATCTTCTTGATAGGTAGTTTGAATATATTTCTTGAGAGGGGTTGCCCAATCAACTTCATCTGTTCTTTTAATAAGCACATAAATCGTTGGGCTTTGATTCATTTTAATAACTTTTTGTATTTAACCAAAGTTCGTTTTTTTATTAAATTGAAATGTAAATAATGTAAATAAAAAAAAAAAAAAATCCTTTTTTGAACTTATGACTTATGCAAGTCGAAAGAATTTTAAATAAAATCCTGGGAAGGTCTGTCAGTGCCGTTACACAAGCCCCGGGAAACTTATATTAGCAGTCGCAGGACATTGCAGATCTACAGGGGGTCAAGTGTCACTCACTAATAAAAATTTTTTGATCAACACGAATTTTATATGAAAAAATGAAGAAAAAAATCACGCTTTCATACACAAACTTGCCTGATTTAATCAAATTGTTACTTGAATCA